AGGTAAAATAATTTAAAAATAAGATGCTATCCTATAATTTTAGCCTTGCCAAATTCTTCCATTAATAAAAGATTGTAAGGCTATTTTCCATTTAGCATATTATCCAATGAGATGTTGATCATTTGAGTGAATCATTTTATGTTGTTTGATTGTTGGGGATTGACAAGAAATGTGTGTATCATTTCTAAGGTGACTTTTCCTTGTCTCTCTAACCCTAGCTTTCACATGTTACATTGATATAATAGAATATATGCATGAAACATCTAAATATATTATGGTCTAATCAAGGTCTTTTTTGGGAAAGTGATTAGGTAGTTCTAGTTATATACCCTTTATATTTAATATGTATGTTCGACCTAGTCAAATTAGTTAAAATGTTTAAATTTGGGATTTAAATAACTAATTTAGATAAACTCGGATTCTCTAACTAATTTAGACAAGTGTGCATCATGATGGGAAACATAAAAGAATTAAATCTTTTACGGTTTTTGCTAGTTGAGTTGTTCTAATGTGAAGATTGAAGTGGAGGAAAATAACAAGAGAGGATCTTAATTCAATTAGAAATATGGAATAATGTTTCATAATAGAAATTTGTTTGAAGATATGGAAATTATTTATTAGAACCATTCTTTTACATCTTTTTTATTCAATGTTGTGACTTGTGAGGTTACTTAGTAAGTGGTTCTGTGGAGGATATATTGGCAAAACTAAACTCACAAATAAAAGCTAAAATTTTGACGGCACCTTTCCAAGCTATTTCGATGTACTTTTTATAGCACTATTATATCAATGTATTTATGTGTCAAAATTATTGACATTTTTTGTTCAAAAAAATAAAATAAAATTATTGACAATTTATAAGCATTGGAAATTCACAATAGGTGAGTTCTTAGACTAAATTTTGACACTTCAAAGAGAATAAATATCTTAAAAAGTGTATGGTTATAATTATTACATATAACGACACAAAAATAAATATATAGGTAGTATATACCTTAAAACTGAGAGTGAGGAATAGCTAATATAAAGTAATTAGAGCTTTTCTCCCAATTCTAGAATACCTTGGGAACAATTCTCATCCCCACCCCTTGTGGCTTTTTTAAATAAAATAAAATAAAATAAAAATTAAAACTTTGATGTATATATATATATATGTATATATATATTTCAATACTTAAATCGAATGATCATTTGTTCTGAAAGGACCGCCAGCGATCTTAAGAAGACTTCCCCCTAAACAATAAAGTATATTTTATTTGCTTTGGATTTGTCTCAAGAGCATAAGACCTAAGGGGGAATTGAAGGCTGCATAGGGGAAGAAACCTAACAAAATTTCTGAGGATGTTGTTGGGAGAACTGAAGATTGCATAGGGAAAGAAACCGGCGTAATTGCTGGGAGTGTTGATGTAGCTTCACATGATAACTCGTGACTTGCCAAACCTATGGCTGAATCTTCTTGCATCAAATCTAGAGTTGTTTCACACCTATCGTGCCCTTCCATAGGGGGTGACTAAACTCCATTGGCGCAGAAACTTCCTAAGTTTCACCATGATCCATCTTCCTCAAAGGGTTGACTACTCGGATGGTAATGAAATTCTTTTGGAGAGAACAATAAGATTGTATTGTTCGCTCTTTGGAAATCACTCCATACATTGTTGGAGTTAGATGCAAATAGGACACAATTGTTATCAATAACTTCAGGCCTAAGATCTTGGTCGGTAGGGTTGACTTTACCCTCCAAATCCAAAGAATTGCCATCAACGTTCTTTTCCATTTTGGTGCTGTCTTTCACACCTAAACACCTTCAAACATGACCATCTCCTTCCTTTCTTTTCCCCTTTTTTCCTAACTTCCTACAATTATCTCCCTTCCCAAAATGAGCATAATCTCTAAACTTCTCACCCCCCCTTGTTACTACAAGTGCCTCATCAACGAACTTGGGAGACCAACCCAATATGGATATAACCTCCTGTAGTTTTTTTTTAGGACTCATAGTTATTGGGATCTATGTTTAAGGCTCGTGCAAGATCCATGAAAGCTAAGGAAGGTTTATTAAGCTCTAACGCTGCAATCGCTCTTCTAAAGTAGGCTTTCATTAGTGGTATCAAAACACAAAGCCGCTGAACATAATTGACCCACTCTATCGTAGTCTTTCACCTTGATGAAGCAAGCACCCAAGTTTAGATTAAGGAACACATCTATTAGAGCTGTCAATTAGGGTAAATGGGTCGGGTAAGAGTGAGTCAGGTCAACTCGGGTCGGGTCAATTTAGATTAATTCCATAACCTATGCGGGTCGGGTTTGGGTTGGGTCATGCTTGAGTCAATCACGTCGGGTCATACTTCTTATCGGATTTAGGTCGGGCTAATAACAGGTCGGGATACATTCGGGTCGAGTGAACAATAGGCAGGGTTTAATTCAGGTTTTCACGGGTTAAAACGGGTTAGGGTAATCCTCGGGTTCGAGTCTGGTTCGGTTCAAGTCAATAATTTGCGGGTTATAATCAAGTCGGGTCATTCTCGGGTTTGATTCGGGTTCGATTCAAGTCAATAATTTGCGGATTAATATCAGGTCGGGTCATTCTCGAGTTCAAGTCGGGTTCGGTTCAAGTCAGTAATTGCGGGTTATAATCAGGCTGGGTCATTTCCAAGTCGGGTCATTCTCGGATTCAAGTCGGGTTATGTTCGAGTTAATAATTTGCAGGTTACAATCAGGTCGGGTTTTTTCCAAGTCAGGTCATATTTGGGTTCAACTAACTATAAATAGATAATTATCATTTTTATCAAGCTATTTATTTCCTTTGACTATAATATATATGGCAATCTACTAGGGAGATATAGTCTATAATTTAGGAAGATAATTATCTCCTTTGACCACACAACAAATATATATTGTATTTAACTCTTAAATTTTTGGATGATGCTCCTTTCTTTTGCTGTCTGGACTGACTTGGTCTCCCAAGACAAAATGCTTTGTTCAACAATAATAAGGTAGTCTAAATTGCATTTAAGGTGATTTGAAATCGGGTCAGGAACAATTTGGGTTGAATTTAGGTCTGATCAATAACAAGTCGTGTTAATTTCGAGTCGGGTTAGTAACAGATTGGGTTGAATTTTTGGGTTGGGTAAGTAATATGTATGGTAAAAGTCGGGTCGGGTCATTAACAAGTCTGGTTAAATTTTGGTCAGGTTTATAACAAGTCAGGTTGATTTCGGGTCAGGTTTGTAACAGGTTGGGTTAAATTCGGGTCGGGTTAGGAACAAGTCGGGTTGAATTCAGGTCAGGTTAGTAACAAGACGGGTTAAATTCGAGTTTTGATGGGTCAAATTCGGTTCAAGTCGGGTTCGGTACAAGTTAATTAAATTGGTCGTTGTAAACCAGTAAATCGTTTCAAGTTGTAAACCGGTAAATTGGTTGTTTAAAAGCAAAATGAATGGTTCCACACACCCAATTTGACTCCCGTAGGGTATTAGGGAGGATGATAAACATTTCGGCAATTTTTATTTACGGCCGAAAAAAAGTTAAAAATTCCAAAATTGAAGGCTAATGTCCACGCTTTTTAAGAAATTTTGAAGGTTTCGGGGCCCGGTGTCGAAAAATCTTGAAATTCTATGGGATACATCTCGAGGTCATATAATGTAGTTTGGAACCATATATGATCATTATTTGTTGTCATAAATGTTCGTGTTAGTCTTGAATTAATGAAATCGGCGCAAGTTATAAACCGGTAAATTAGTCATTTAAAGGTAAATTGGATAGTTCCACCAACCCAATTGAACCCCTAGAGGTTATTAGGGACCATGGTAAACATTTCGGCGATTTTTATTTTCGGACGAAAAAAAGTAAAAAAAAAACCTAAATTGGAAGTTAATATCCATGTTTTTTTTGAGAAATTTCGATGGTTTCGAAACCAGGTGTCAAAAATAAAATGAGATTTTATTTGATACATCTCGCGGTCATATAATGACGTTTGAAACCATTAATGACCATTATATGTTGTCCAAAATGTTTGTGGTAGGCTTGAGTTAATGAAACCAGTGCAAGTTGTAAACCGGTAAATTAGTCGTTTAAATGCAAATTTGATGGTTCCACCCATCTAATTGGACTAACGGAGGGTATTAGGAACAATATTAAACATTTCGGCATTTTTTAAATTCCAAAATAGAAGGCTAATATTCACGCTTTTTGAGAAATTTTGGAGGTTTCGGGGCCTGGTGTCGAAAAGCTTTGAGTTAAAAAGATATATCTCGGGGTCATATAATTTCGTTTGGAACCATATATGATCATTTATTTGTTGTCATAAATGTTCGTGGTAGGCTTGAGTTAATGAATTCGGTGCAAGTTATAAACCGGTAAATAGGCTGTTTAAAGGCAAATTGGATGGTTCCACCCACCCAATTGGAATCCCAAAGGATATTAGGGAGCATGACAAAAATTTCGGCAATTTTTATTTCAGGGCGAATAAAGTCAAAAATTTCCAAAATTGAAGGCTAATATCCACGCTTTTTGACAAATTTTGGAGGTTTCGGGGTCCGTTGTCAAAAAATATAGAAATTCTATGGGATACATCTCGGGGTCATATAATATCATTTGTAACCATATATAATCATTATTTGTTGTAATAAATGTTCGTGTTAGGCTTGAACACGTATGAGTAGCTAAAAGTAAACATTTCATATCGTCGCAGAATATCATATCTCTGGTTAATCTTCGAAAACCAATGTGTATTGTATTAAAAATTCATTCTAATCATGGCCCACGGAGTACACTTGGTTTTCTAGACGTAAGAAGTTTTATGGTCCGACCCCTAATGTTCTATCGTGTAATTCTGCTTTCTTTACCTAGTTTAGGTTGTAATCATGTTTTTCATTAATAGTACTCTTTATCAAAAAAAAAAAAAAAACATTCTAAAGTTCAGTAGGGCATTATAAATTGCACAGAAGTTCCACCGGAAGATGGACATGCTCAAGCGTCAACTCGACTTTGTAATTTTTGCCATTAAACCTGATAGAAGCGTTGAATTTGGATGTATCCCCTTTCACTAAGAAAATTTCAAAGCATTTTACAACTATATAAAAATACTGTAAGATGGTAGAATGTAACATCAGGAAAGTGCAAAAAATTAAAAATGCATAGACAATTACCAGCTCTAAACTGTCATATAACCATATACTCATCGTTTCCCACACAAACGACTTGATTCACCTTTTCGACAAGGATGATTCAGCAGTTCACCCAGACGCATAAAAAGTGCACAAAAGGCCAGGTATGTTCATATTTGGCATAACATGTCCATTTTGAAACATTTAATCCCAACCGGAATATGCAACGCTACCTTAGCTTAGTTTCTGCATAACAACTGAATTAGCAAGACCAGCCTGCCCTATTGTCTGGTTCAGATCACTGAGTGGCTTGGGAGGAAATCCGACAGTTTGGAGCTGGTAAGTTCTACTTCCTCCTGGCCGTGAAGCATCAATGAAGGCGCGGATATCATTGATTGTGTGGTGGTAATTAAAATGGGCCACCATGCGAGTCCCATCTGCTAACCTGAGCTGAATGGGGGTCGAAGGTTGGCTCTGATCCACAACCAGGCCAGCAGAAGGGGGTGGGGCAGAGTTGAGAGGAGCAGTTTGCTCGGATGCTGCAGAGGAAGTGCTGCCGCCAAGGGTTCTTCCAACACCTTGAAATGCAACAGTCCGCTTCTCAGGTTCCTGCAAGTAAACAAGAGAAAATCAGGAAAGTGGTTATTCACTCCTTCAGTTCCATATTCCACAATATATGGGATTAATGGGAAGTCCAAAAATAATCTACCACTTACCAACCCCCCTCTTACAACCTATTTTTCAATTTTCTTAATTAAATGACAGCCCTACAAGATTACTTTATATGCACGACATAGCCTAAATTGAAGATTAAACTTTGGCAGAGGGATTATCAAACAACAACAATATGCATGGTGCTAAAAAAGACAGTCATTATATTCTACATCCTAAGCTAACCAAAAATATCAATCAATGAGTATTAAGCTACTTAAAGAAAGAAAAAATTTAACTGAGAACTCACAGGACAGTCGACTCCCTCCCTTCTGATGAGATTTACATGCACTGAAGACCTTCTATCTGCAGGTTCAAGCTCTTTTGGGCACTCAGATTTTCCAATGCTCTGCATTGGAGAAAAGTATAATGTAACTGAAAAACACGAGATACAAAACAGGATGGGGGACCGTACCGGGGGGGGGGGGACATAGGCTCTGAAACTGATTTATTACCTCTATGAATGATGCATTTTCAGGGTCATCCAACCTTCTGAGGGGACCATCATTTACAGTGAATCCATTCTGCCAGAAAACAATGTTGTGGACAACTGGCTCAGCTGGCTGAGAGCCAGCAGCTACTGCCTCCCCAGATGCAAGTGTTCTTCCAGTACCAGTGAAGCTTGAGCTAGAAGGGCGCAGGTTCTCCAGAGGACCTTCAACAGCACCTAGTTGCCTCGCTTGGTTAAAAATCGCATCCACATCATTACCCTTGGGTGGCTCTTGGACCAGCATTCCACTGCAAATGTGCAATTTCAAGCATTAGGCAAATCATTCAAAATATAATACAAAAAGGTTTTCCAAATAAACTCCCCGACAATCAACTGCATGGCTTTTGTTCATAGTGCTTTACAGTTATGACTGAAGTATCCAGGAGAGAGGGAAGGTGTTGGGGGGGGGGGGGTATCAGACACAAGCATTCGAATCTCTTACCTCGTTCGCAAGTTTTGCGACTCAATGACCTCATCAAAAAAAACACAGGAACTTGACCAGCTTAGTAATCTAAAGTTCCCTTTATTAACAATACTAGACCTCTTAGACAGAGCAGCAGATTAAAGTTGGAAAAGACAAAAGAGGAGAGGAGAATAAACCTCTTTATAAAGAAATTAAAGTACCCAAAAAAAAAAAAAAAAAAAAAAAAAGCACCCCTACCCCCGAACTGCCAAAGCTCATTAGCTGGGTGAGAAAACATCATCCATGACATGAAGTGCTATTCACTACAATTAGGTCCATACTTTACTACTCCACACGGAAAAACTTTCCTACAGCCAAACACCGCTCATCCTGTCACATTACAGTGAGACTCAAGAATGAATTGCTCACTGTGGTATTACGAGAGCCTTCAAATACAACTATTCCTTTCCCTCTCCTCTCACCCTAATTCTACTATCTTTCTCAACCGCTAGTTCTCTTTCTATTTCCAAACATCTCATTACAAGATGATATAAATCAATTCTAAACATTTCATCAACTGCTTTGGGTTCTAGCACGCAAACTCACACCTCCCACGTTCGTATTTGACAATCACGAATAATCAGCAGACATCCAACTTATGATAAGTGGAGTATAACCAACACCTTATACATGGGTATCATAGGCAAGAGGGAAAAAAGTTAATGACTTAAAGGGAACTGACGAGTATCCAAGCTCGCGGAACCACTTTTCTGACTTTTATCCAAGAGAATGCCTTAAGTCCCTTAACCCACCAATGCCGCGTCTGGCTAGCAGTTAGAAAAGAAAAGATTTATCGAAGGGCAAATAAAACTAATTCACACATTTCCAAGAGAGTGCCGCTAACTAAGGAAATCAGACTGCAGTCTTACGATTACCTCTCAATAAATCAAACTTGCTCTATCATTCACTGTCAAGTGTCAACCACCACCTATAAAGATAGGATAACTAACCTTACACCACACCCTTGAAACAAACCAATCATCGTTGTGATTTCCTACTTCCCATTCAATCACTAAAAAAAATTGAACTTTCGTCCCTTTCATTTGCCCAATATCCATTGTCTTTAGAATGCTAGATAACATTTAATATTGGCAGAAAAGTACGTCAGATTTTGACACTTAAAAAGCTAGTCCACTGTAATTCGTACATAGTGCCGCAAATTCCAAATAGTTGACACCAACAATTAAAATACTACCAAACAGAAGTACAAATGCAATCATGGCAGGACAACACTTGGTAACAACATCATAAACAACAAAAAAAATCTAAAAATGTACACTAAAAATCAAGCATTAAGAAAAGGATAAAGGTGCAACCCCTTCTCACCGCCATTAAAGCATTGATTATTATTATTATTATTACACACCAAAATTTCTAGAAAAAAAAAAGCATTCAACAACACAAGGCAATTCTTGACACAAACAAGCATTATTTAGTTTCACTAGCTTCAATAGACCTAAGTTCACAAGTTCGGTGTATGGTAAGTTCAGAAAAGGGCCAATAAGTACAATTAAAGTTAAGTTCACGACTAACCAAGTTGAATAACTACAATAAAATAAGTAACAAAGCTACATACAGGGCTAATAATTTAAGATATGATCATACTCGTATAAATTTAAATAAGTGAACTTCAGGTGAATGGAGCACACCCTTGACTGTAACAAAAAGGTTGTTCTTGAAACTAACAAGGTTATCCCATAACTGTCTCAAACCAAACCAAAACATACCCAAAAAGCCGAGAGCTTGACAACATCTTACAACAAAGAACATGACTTATACACCTCGATTTCATAAAACCAAGCATATTATAATAACTAAATCACAAAATTATATGTCATGAAGTATATTATTCCGTACTATATTAACAGTCCAAAAAGAACTAGCAAAAGGGGCTGTTCTTAATAATCCCAAACTAAACAAAAACATACCCAAAACCTGCAATTGACAGCATTAATAATCAACTCTATGATTCACAATAAAAAAACCTCAATTCAAATTACCAACAACGGCAATCCTTAAACATCCCAAACAAAAACATATCCAACAACGATTAACCACAAATTATCAAATTATACAATCAAAGCACAAAACAACAAGCAAATTAGCCTCAATTACATCATAATTAACAAAAGGGTAATTCTTAAAAATCAAAAACTAAACTAAAACAGATCAAAAACCCAAGATTAACAAGAAATTATCAAGTGGGTAACAAATAAATTAAATTAAAAAGGGTAAAAGCGTAAACCTTTTTTCACCACCAGTGTAATACTCTTGTGGGGCGTTATCAGAGTCGCTATCAGAGTCAGGACTTGAGCGACGATTCAAGTCGGCGAGTGTTCGAATCCCACCAGCGGGTCGACTACCACCGCTAACAGATCTCGTTGTTTTCTTGTCTTTGGAAGCCATGAAAATTATTAAGGTTTGATTGAGGTTTTTTTTACAGTTTTTTTGCAATTTCTTCTGCTGCAAACTTTAATAGTTTGATGTGTGAGGAAAGAGAAAACTGCGTGGATGGCTGGATGCTTTGTGTGTATATGTGTCAATGGGTGTATTTCCGATATTTTTTTTTGGTCAATGCTACTGTAATCCTTTATCTGTTTCTTAATCCTCGTTTGGTATTAATTGCAATATTAGGTATTCACCAAGTTTAAAATTTATAAGATGGGTCTAAAAGAGAGTTTTTTTTTTTTTTACTACAACGTCTAAAGTACTCCCTTTCTCTTTATTATTATGTGAGGAATAAATGCTAGAAAGAAGAATGTAATTTAGGGACAAGGAGTATTGTTAGTAAGACAGAGAAATAATTTTTTTTTTGGGAGAAGAGAGAGAAATAATAAAATAATAGTGGATCTTTTTTAAATATAAAAATATTGCAATTAATATGAAATAGATGTAAAAGAAAAGTGTTGCGCTGAATACGAAACGAATAGAGTAATATATATAGTACTTTGTATACTTCGTATTTTTTTATGTTTAGAGAACCACGTGGGTAGATGATGAGAGTCGATCCCAAGATTTATTGAGACCGGGAGGGAAGTTTTAAACACTTGAGCTTATCCTTACTCAATCTATTGCCTTAATATTGAAGCGTGGAAACCAAGCATAGTTTAATCTAGTGGTAAGATTTGCATTTCACAAGAGAGAAGAAAAAAAAGTGTATAAATAGAGAAATGTTGCACTATTTGTTTTATATATTATAAAATGATAAGTGTGACAATTAAAAACATACCAAGGGAGTACCTGTATATATTTGTTTTTTTGGTAATGTAAAATACTCCATTTATTTTTTTAATGCATCATTTACTACTTTTGGGTATATATTAATTTTATGATGGGTATTTGGTACCAATTACAAAGTGTATACAGTCGATACAGAGTATCAAAGTTCATTATTTTTCTCTCTTCCCTATTAAAACCCCTTATTTGGTTTTTTTTTTTTTTTTACCATTTCTTTCTCTTTTATGATCCAACTTAAATAATTAAAAACTATTATTTCTCACATGAAAACCCCTTATTTTTTAATTTTTTTTTTTTTTATCATTTCGTTATCTTTTATGATCCTACTTAAATAATTAAGTTCTCACATGATCTCTCTTTTATGTTCTCATTGTAAGTTTATTAAAATACTTGTATATTATGTACATTTTTTTTTTTGAATAGTAGTATACTATGTACTTAAAATAACATCTACTTGAACCCAACTACAATAGTTGGGTAGCCATTATATTTCAAAAAAAAAAAAAAAAATAGATAAAGCTATGTTGTTTAGAGTTGCTTTTCTCTGCCATGCTCTATTTTATACTCAAAAACTCTAGAGAGAAGGGTCTCTCTCTTACAATTTTTTTAGTAAATACAAGTGATACATCTAAAATTAACAATGATACTCCATATATATCTATAAAATAGTTTTTTTTTTTTTTTTTTTTTTTTTTTTTTTTTTTTTTTTTTTTTTTTTTGGAAAAAATCTACACAATAGACAATAGTAAACATAACTAAAACAGCGTATCAATAACAACAACCGAGCAAACAGATAAAGTGAGTAGACTGTAATAAGTAAAAGTGTAGAGTACAAATAGGACTAAAATAAATTATTTCTTTGGTTGTTGTACCAAAGTAAATAAATAAAAATTCCTTGGATTGTGGATTGGACCCCCCATGTTCAAAAGTTGTATACCAAATGTTTGTACCCCGTGATATCAACAAGACAACACAACAATAGATCTTTGCCTCTTGAGTTAATAATCAACTAATCACACAACAATTATTCCCATAAAATAACTTTAAGTTTGATTAGTTTTCCTTACACTAATGAGAGTATAGAGAATCAAGGATAATCACTCAATTCATGATGTTTATGTGTTACATAACCTCTTCTTTTTCAATAGGTAAGATGAATGATCCAATTAGTTATAACTCCCGAGATATCTAAATTTAATTTATGCTACGCATGGAAAAAAAGGGGCAAAATATCCCAAAAGAATCTTTATCTATTATCATTTATGCCTTGATCTTCTCAACTTTTTAATAAAGCGTATATTTAAAGGAAAAAAAATTGAGTTATTTAAAAGCCCGATTAAAATCTACACTGACAAAGTAACTCTTATAACATTGATAGAGTAATTTCATATACAAAGTATACTTGTTAAACTGTTGAGTAACCCTAAATATTGACATAGTAACCCCTATAACATAAGTCGAATAATCTCTATATTACTGACTGAGCAACCTCATGGTTGCTGGCTTCATTGTATAGTTAACCACATCTAAAGTTTAGTGGTCTAAGGGCCTGTTCTCTTCCGTTGAAATTCAGTTCAGTTCAGTTCAGCTCTTAATTTACGTCTAATGATATTGCTAATGATATAAAGCCAAATTTCATTCTTTTAAGCTCTTATTACAACGACAACAACAACAACAACAACAACAACAACAACAACAACAACAACAATAATAATAATAATAATAATAATAATAATAATAATAATATTAACAACAATAACAATAATAATAATAATAATCAATAAGTAATAAATAATAATAATAATCAATAAATAACAATAATAATAATAATAATAACAATAATAATTGAAATAATAATACTAATAATAATAATCAATAAATAATAATAATAATCATCAATAAATAATAATAATAATAATAATAAATAATAATAATAATAATAATAATCAATAATTAATAATAATAATAATAATAATCAATAAATAATAATAATAATAATAATCAATAATTAATAATAATAATAATATTAATAATAATAATAATAATAATAATATTAATAATTATAATAATAATAATATGTACATTTGTATATACACATATGTATAGTAATAAATAATCAATAAATAATCAAAGATCACTAATCCGTAGTTAAAAATCACTAATTAATAAGTTTAGTTCAGTTCAGCTGAGTTCAGTCAATCGGAACAGCAAAATAAGTTAAACTCCTTGGAAAAAAAAAATCTAGAATACAGTTTAAACTGTTGTGACCAACCTTGTATAAAATCTAGAATACAATCTAAACTGGTGTGGCAACCAACGAATTAAAGCTAGTGGACTAAATATCAAGAATACAGTGTAAACTAAAGCAATAATACGAGTATGAATATTTTATGTCGGTAATGGAGCTAAATACGGAGTATATACTAGTATTTCCAAGATAGTGACTGTGTTGTGGAATGTGGATAGAGTATATTCAAGTTGTATTTTGTCAGCAAATTTTTTTTAATATAAACTTCTTGAGTTTAATTTATTTAAACTTATTTTGTTAGATTGAACTTATTTGAACATATTTAAATTAATTAACTTTAGTTAGGAATAAAATCAAGTGACGAATGTGTTTTTGGTGTGACCGTTTGTAAAAAATAGAGTAATCTCTATAATAACTTGTCATACCGTGATGACTAGTCATATACGTAGTATAAAAGTTAGTGATAACCCAACTCTTTTATTTTTTATTTAGATTGATTAAACACGCGTTAATTATCAAAGGTGGTTCCACATAAATTCGAATCTTTTACCAAATTGTCAAAATTCACATGATCAGATTCTTTGTTATTGTCTTGGTTCTCAAGTGTCTGCATCTCTTTTGATTTTTGTTTCTAACACGTTTTGGATGTTTGCCCTTTACAGGAAATGTTGTAAAGAACAAAGAAGCGATGTCCATGCAGTACAAATTCATGACTTCATTGTTACATGTTGAGATATACTTCGTTGTAACCGAATCGACGGTATTTAAGCAAGAAAATGTGTATGCACCGTAAAAGTCATGCATCGTGCTAAACCTTTTCGGGAAGGGGATACATCTTCGGGGTCAGTCATTCATAAAAGTAACATGATACGCTGTTAAAACTTAAATACAAAAGTCAATTTTACATGTAATTCTAATAGAAAGTCTATTGGGGCAGACCATTTTCCTATGTACTTTGTGTAACGAGTCAAAAACAAGATCAATCTATTTCACTCTATGTTTGATGTCAAATCTATGACCTCCCATCAGCTCATGTCCAATGGCCGTTTATCAAGGCGACGACTCTGTTTTTGATTCCTTAGCTCTTCAATGTCAAAAAGGGTTTTCTTCCGAGATATTGCGCTTTCGATATACTCGTGTACAGGGGGAAGGGATCCTTCTTTAGCGTCTGTAGAGGTGTTAATTACTTTGTTCCGAATAACCTGTTGAAAGTAAAAGAAATTTCTTTTTGATTATATCACATTTACAAACATCAACAAAGGTGCAAATTCGCCTCAAGGCAAAAAAGTAATTTAAGAGGAAGCAAGGAAGGGGGAAAAAGAAAACTTACCTTGGATGCCCAGCGACGCTCTGCCTGCTGACATACATCTCTGATATCCCGTCCAGACAAGCTGGTTTTGGAAAAGAAAATGAGAACATTCATAGCAATGAGCATCACTATAAACAAAGTAGTCGTATTTTGCAATTTTTGTTTTGTTCTTTTCACTTCAAAACAGCCTTATTAAATTTGTTTTAATTGTAAACTGGACTTGGGTAGCCTTTATTTTTAATGACCATATTTATCTATAACTCCATAATCATTGATCCATGACCACAGGTCAAGTCAGTGCAAACACAGTTGAACTTTGCTTACCCTTCGGTAACTGAAGCAAACTCGTCGAGTTCAGAATTAGCAAGGTGCTTTGCATACTGAGCTGCTATTTTCTGTCGATTCTGGTGATCAGGCAGACCAAAGAAAATCATCGAATCAAATCGGCTGAAAATAAAACAAAGAGTTGGTTAGTTGAGGTCTTAAGACTCTTAACTCGCAAGTAGGAAAATGCAAATAAGATCTGAAGATAGCTTCTTAATTAAATTAGTAGCATATGCTGTACCTAATGAGAGCAGGATCAATATCCTGCTTTCTGTTTGTTGCAGCAATCACCACCACCTTCTTATCTTGTTCAAAACCATCAATCTGTACCAAAGAAGTTATTATATAGAACTCTGGTCTCGGTCTTATGAACAAGTATAATATAAACTTCACGCTAATTGTAATTTTTTTTAGAATCTTTACAACACTTTAAGGCAGAAATTGAAGTTCAAGATTTTTCGACTAGCGCACACTAAATTTTTAATCCACAATAGATTGTAGATAATTTCTAGACAGGCTTAAGAAGCAAGATGTCATTGAGTGTCAATAGAAGGCTTGATTTGGACCGGGTATGAGAGCAGAGTCCTGGCTTGACTAGGCCAAACTGGATGATCATGAGGGGTGGCTTGGTCTGAAAGTACTTTCAAGAACAACAAAGCTAAGAGGAACTATGAGATGCACAATACACACAAGAGAGATGCCTAGTTGGAGAAGACTAAGCAGCCGATAAAGGCAAAAGCAGAACATTCATTTAGTTCAATTGGCCTTGAGATGCGAAACAACAAAGCAATTTTAAGTTTGAAGGAGATTTGAAACACATTGTGCTGTTTTCATTCTCACTCCTCAAAAAATTATTTTCATACTAGTCAAATTCCAGGCCCAGAGGCATGGTCAAAGTACTTAGCTAGCAACTAACATATAAACAATATCAATCTTTCAACTCTTGCCATGTTGAAGACTGTTTTACCTGCCTCAATAACACCGATAAAATTCTTCTAGTAGCTTCATGTATCTCACTATCACGGGCAATAGCAAAAGAATCAACCTGCACGGATTAAAATACGGTCATGTTAGTAGATAATTGAGACCACACTTGAGTGGGCTGTCCATGAAATGCTAAGTCAGCTGCAAGAAATTAAGTACATCCTCTATCACAACATATTAAGCCATATTTCTATTTTAGATTGTCCCAAAATAATACCCCCACTTTCTAAACTTTGACAAGTCAAATTTTGAACTTCCCAAATTAACCCTTCATGATACCCTTATAAGAGTTCCAAATACTTTGTTCATACAACCTTAGTATGATGAAGATGGAACTTTTAAGCATGGTGTCAAGTACCTCGTCCAAAAATATGATTGCACCATCTGGAAGCTCATTGGCAAGAGAAAAAACCTTCCCAAAGAGACGCTCACTTTCACCGTAATACTTGGACATGACGACCTCCAATGGCACATAAAGAAGAGGAACCCCCTAGAAGGCACAGTAAAAGATAGCTCAGTTGAATTTGATAACTTATAAGTGACATGAAAATACAAGGCGCTACTGCAATTATAATTCTAAGAACAAAAAAACTTTCAGCAGAGTATACAAATTATTGCAATCCAACAAGCATGTCTACAATTGGATATTCGGAATCATAGTATTCAAACCTATGACATTTGTAAAAACCAAACTGCAAAGCAAGAGTGGTGCTACATAAACAGCTAGGTTAGTAAGGTTACTCAATGCATTTCAATTCACCACAAGTAACTATGTTGAGTCTTTGATAGTGAACGGATATGGACACTTGACACTTCACTTTGGTCTTTTGGACCAATAACACGGGCTGACTCTCAGGTGTTTCATTTGATCTCATGCTCATATAAGCAGCCTAGTTTCTAATCCACATTAATCTATAAGTCCATTGACTGGAATTATATGCTGCATTCAACTGCAGGGCATAGATATTCATTCTGTTTCTGAAAACTCGAATAAACAAGAACAGTATGACTGAATGACACACAATTATGTATGCGATTAGAAATTCAGAACCACATATAGCATGAAACCACATTAGTAAACCAACCATATGTAGCATACATTCTTCAACAAACTGCATTTAGTTCTTTTTCTTTTTCTTTTTTCTTTTTAATAAACCTGCAAAAAATACAGTATCACAAGTAACAAGCTCGGTGACAATATAGGATTGCTCCTGCATATGACATATCACATGTAAACAAAGACCGACTGATCAAAGTACAGCTGGAATGGTATGAGATATCATTTGTCCAAAAAAATAAAGGAGCAAATTTGACACTCATATTTTTTACGTAGTATATATCATTCTAAATGTAAAGTAACAAATCCATCAATTAAAGATCATTACAGAGAGTAAAGGCTTACCGCTTGATTAGCAATAACACGAGCACAAGATGTTTTCCCAGTACCTAAGCACAAAGTATATGCATGTCTTAATCGAATGGTCTCAAGATGGCTAATAAAGTCTATCATTTCCCTAGTAAATATTGACATTTACAAGACAAAATGTGGACAACATAGTTTCAGTTATTTTGGAAGGAAAACCTGGAGGGCCTTCAAAAAGAACAGCTCTGGGTCTATTGGACTCAAATTTTCGCCGAGTTCCACGGGCAATATCATCATATACTTCAGGACTACGCAGAGCCAACAGCACAGTATCCTCTATTTCCCTGTAAAAGAGAAAAAGAAGGGAAAAAAAAGGTGTATTAATCCTCTGTTGTTGGTCAGGAAGAATTTTAGGTATTGCATACAAAGTGTTTAATAAATCCATAAAATATTGTCTCTTATATACTTCGAATGAAGTATATCCAGTGGGACACTGCAAACGCAGCTATTAGATAAAAGGCACACATATAATAAGGTCAAGGAGATCACTCTTCCCCATTTCACAATTATTTTCATCACCTCCTGAGCCCAATTATTTGACATTCAATGACAATTACATTTGATACTTCACAAGTACGTGCATTAAAAAATCAAAGACCTCTAAAATTTAAGTCTACAATCTTAAATAAGCCAATTCATCAAAGACCCAAATCTCAAATACCTCTTTTGCTGATCATAGCCAGCAATGGTATCCCATGACACCTCTTCATTGGCATTACCAACAAGTGGTGCATCAAGCCCGAATACACGTATGCCCATGGCTTCTAAGCTAGTAATTGATTTACTCGTCGAAGGTGTTCCTGCAGAACTACTTCTATCTCCGGCTTTGCTCTGCCCTGGCCTTTCACCAGCTATTTGCATGATCGACACCAGAGCCTCAAGCTCTGCAGGACTAAAGCTTCCTTTCTTCAGGAACTCAACCTCCTGAAAGTTTATCATCAACAAAAACATCAGCTCGATGCTAGATGCCAGCAATACTCACTATGATTTTTTTTTTTGGGGGGGGGGGGGGGGAGGCCATATAGCATCTACAAGGACAGTATCAACTATCAAGTTTGATTTAAAGGCGATAATTACCGGCTTATCAGGACTTATCAGTGACCTAAATATTAAAACACAGAGATCACTGTCATTTGAAATGTTTTCTCCTGTGCCAACACTACTCCCTCCACTTTCTCTCTTTTCATTTGGGAGCCTGAGAGCTAGCTGCCAAGCAACTGTGCTGAAATTATACAGCGTAACAGAAAAAGAAAAAAGAAAAAAATATAGAGTTAACTGATAAAAGCAGATTCAATCACAATATATAACTGAATTGATTACTACTAATGGCAATGAAACTGAAATAGCATAGTTGCAGAAATAAATCTGACTTACAAAACATGTCAAAAGAAAAGCCAGAAAAAGATTGATAGAACTTAAGCTTCGAAATTACCTGTCCCAGGATTGAACTTCCAAAGGTGAACCACCATTGAGGCTTGCAGCAAGGTTTGCTATCAATCTAGGGATTTCACAATATGCAGGTACTGGGAACTTGATAGCAATCTACACATATCATAAAGAACCATTATCATAGCAGGCAACAATGCCAAAAAAAAAGAAGCTGATAACATAAGATCAAACAAAATGTACAAACTACAAACACTTGGGCTGCACAAAGCAAACAGCTTTCTTTGAATAGCTAGTAAGTTTGTTCTTATCTTTTGACTTCGTCAGCCTTGAGATGATTATACTTAATAGAAAAGTATAAGTAAAACCTCACAAGAGAAGCCTTCAGTGTTGGACCAATTTTGACCTTTTTAGGCCCAGAAAGAAAAGAGGCCGGGGTTCTTCCCATGGACCCCACAAGACCCCGGGAGGCTGGATGCGCCACCTTATTATCTACCTTGAATATATATTCACTCTAAACTTAAGTTTAAGGTATGCTTCCAAATTCTATCACAATCTTATTAAAGCTATGGTTTGTTATGTATGATTTCTACTAAATTTTGATCCCGATTTCCTCAATTAGAATGAAATAACAAAATTGTGAACATCGGAGGACTAAAGGAGTAAAGGACCAATGATTCATTTAATTAATCCCTAGGTTGACTCCAAATAGGAAGGAACCGGACTAGCCTCTTTTCTGTGCTCCTCGCCTCTTGTAACTCTTGTTATATCGTAATTAGATTTGATAGTAAACAAAGTTTGGAAAGAAGGTGATGCAGAACTATACAAGAAACTCTATAATCTGTCTCATCAGCAATAAATATGGTATTTGATGCAGAATTTTACTAGGGTGATAAGGTATGTGTACCTTTTGGCCCTTTACTGCAACAGTGAATCGTGGATAAGAACCATACTTCAAGCTTTTGCTTCTTATAAGATCCTCCAACCTACGTCGTTCATTTTTCGCTATTTCTTCCAGGTTATCATAACTTGAAGGGATATCAGACGGCAAGGGAGATTCTGAAGGGACCTGCAACGGGTTCAGCAACAATGAAGTGCTCTTCAATATACTCAGTATGCAGTTCAGTTTAGACTTTAGAGTCCAATTTTCCAAAACAAATCATACGGAACAAGAAGCAGGCAAACTAGGCCCAGCGCTAGCAATGCATGAAAACATGAATCGCCACACAGAGTAGTCAATCTAGATAACAAGCACAAACCTCATTTGTATCTGCATAAGCCACATCTACAATCCCAACACCAATAACACTAGCTAGCACAAGCGGAATGCAAAGTGACCGGGTAGACTCGAAACTAGAAAATGGAATACGGCCTTTAAACGCATTGGCTAATTGCTGCTGGGTTCCATAACCTGCACATCACATAATTGCAAACCTGAATTGATAAATGTTCTCGTGGTCTAGCATCAACCACTCAACCACAGTATCGCTACATATCGATTAAAAGGTATCAAAAGTTGTGATAACATAATCACAAGAACATTCATGTCTTCCAAAACAATTCTAGTAATAACACAATTTCAAAAACAAGATACAAGTATATGAATTAATAAAAAGTACTCTTTCTGAGCTACCATCACCTAATAATCAACTCAATCAAGCAAAATTAGAGGTCTTTCAGCTCAATTTTAAACATACTGATTTCTTGCTTATGATTTCACCAATGCTCTGCTAATAAAACACAATCTAGTGTTTCTTTCCAACAATATATAAAACTAATATTAACTAAAACTAGCAAAACCCCAATTCAGAAAAGCCACTAAATTTCACAACCAAACATACAAATTCAATTTTATCGAATCCTACCAGCAACAAGCAAAATCAGCTTAAATTACTCAATGACATAAACCCATTAATTCTACTTATAAAGTCTACAAATTTATGTGCTCAAGGTTCAAACTATAAGCTATAACATTAACAAGACTAAAGGTTAGTTATTATTATAAGACCCAAAAATAAAATTAAAGGGATAAACTTAAAAGAGTAAAATTCATAGAAAACCCAGAAATTAGAAAGAAAATATTACCATGACAAAGACGAGTTTGAAGGAGTTGAGGAGATGATGAAGGGTTTATGGTTTTAGAAGAAGAAATTGCACTGCGCCAAACTCTCCTAGTTAATAATCGACTGAATGTTGCCATGATAATTCCAACTTTTGATCAAAACTCGAGGGTTTTTGATGAAATTGAATTTTGCTAGAATTACTAGGAAATCGGAGAATTGAATTCCAAGTCAATTTTATTCATAGTCCCCCACCAATACTACAGTTGGGTCGAATAAGCATGAAGAATCTGATTCTGGTAGCTTCAATTTCTTGAAGGACAGGTTATGTGATTTTTCTTTGGAAGGAGAGGTGGGGAGTTTTTTTTTTTTTTTTTTTTTTTTTTTTTTTTTTTTTTAACCGCTCACGTCAACCTGACTCAAGTTAACGGGCTAAACGTGTTGGTTAATAGGCCGTTTTGGGGATAAGGGGATCTCCAATTCTCCATTATTACAATGCCTAGTGGGAGTTAAACCTCGGGTCGGAATATTCTTTCCATATCACTAGGAAAACAATTGGTTGGTAAAAGGGTTGGGGAGCATTGTATATTGCTTTTAATACCGTTCTATACTTCTATTTCATAGATACCTCATATTAAATAGTACTCGTAATTTCTATAGTACTTTATGTTACATGAGAAAGTAAGGGCAAAGAAAGATGAGAAGGATGCCAAATAAAAATGGTTTACACTATATCCTCAAACATTTTTTAAAAAAAAAACTACGTAATTTTTAAGTACATTACACTTGCTCATTGTTTTAGCTTGAAAACAGAAAAATAAATGTTTGATAGAGTGTTACTTCCTTTAACGAGACATTATGTTTGTCAATTCATCATTAGATATCGCTATGTTCTATACAACACGTGTAACACGTTTAGGTCGTTTACACATGTTGATCTAGGTATGATGTGCATAGTAAAATCTGTTTGATGTTAAGTAAATAGCGTAAACATCGAGAGACATGCCTGTTTGTAAAGATTGTCTACAAGTAAATGGGAATATTTTTTGGAGGAGAACCTTGATGCTAATTGCAATGAATATTTGTGGACTGATCCTTTGGGCTCGTTGTAAGGATTATTTGGGGCCTTGGGCTTGATTTAGGGCCAACTATGGGCTGTTAGAAGAAGTGTCTCTGTTGGGCTAAAACTGGGCTTAATTCAAGTCTAGTAGGATGACATTAGCCCAAATGATCCAACTGTTTTGTTTTTGTTTGATTCAGCTTTAAATTGCCAGGGAATTAAGTGACAATTACTACTTTTACATTTTTCATCACAATTCTAAAGCTTATTCTAACATACATAAGATTTTTCAACCTTTCCAATTTACAACAATTTGTCACACAAATTAGTAATCCATGAGTTGGTTATAAAACCATATTCGAGAAAGCATATTACATTTCAACACTAATCAAAGAGAAAGACCTCTTGGAGCATGCAGTGGCCTAGAGGTCACCTTGCATCCTTGAGGTGCGAGGTTTGACTCTCATCAGGCACAATGCCATCCCCCCCCCCCCCTCAGAACATTGCCAGCTAGGCTTTCTATGATAGGAGTTTTCGGTTGGCGTCTAGTTGATCTTGCCATGTAAAAAAAAAAAAAAAAATCAACACAAACCAAAACAAATTAAAACTATATAGCACCGACCTAATATAGTTATAAAACCAACCAAGTAACCATCTTAACTAGTTAATTTTTTATAGGATAGTGTTCGCCAATAATTAAATCATGTCTACATCATTTACCTATAATGTCGGTGTAAGAAAAATATCTTGTATTATATTTACTTGAAGGTCTTGTTCAAATCGCTAGTTCAGTACTATTGTCTTTATATCATGCATGCATGTATATAGTACGTACGTACTGTTGAAAGGCATTGGATTATAATCCAACAAAATTGACGTCAACTTTCTGCATGCAATTGTATGTCTTTAACTCATTTATCATTTTATGACTTTATATTATGTCATGCATTCGATCTGTATGTAGAAAACCATTGGATTATTATCCTACAAATTTGCTTTCAACTTTCTTCGATAATTTGGCCTTTTCTTTTGAAGGGTCTCTTAGATGACACTGCTACTTTCAACATTGTGCTCCATATCCATTATTGTCAATATAGTTTAATAACATAGATATCATCGATATAATTAATATCCATGATTTATAACATGATGATCACTTGTAGAAACTCACCCAAAACATCGTTGTATGTGTATTGTATATTATGGTGTTTAAATTAAGCACAAATTATGTATTCGTATGTAATATGTATAGTGTTGCACTTTGTAGCATTATGTGCATGGTGCATCCTTCAAACAAAAATAGTCATTATACCAAATGAATTAAACATATATAATTGTTAGACTAAATTTTTTTTAAAAAAAAATATATTCACTCAATTCATTATGTACAAACGCATTGTAAATCAGATTGTATTTTTATTGTGACCGGACTTACAGTGAGTCCAGTGTATAGTAATAAATTAATAATATCATATTTTAATATATTTATATTGTAAGATTTTGACGTTCTAATATCATATGGAGTACAATAATAAATATGAGCTACATTTTCATTTTAAATCATTCACGTACTGTCTATATTCATATTAAAATGCGACTTCAATTTATACGTCTTCTTATACTTTGTTTATTATATTTACTTTTTTTTTTTAAATTGCAAATCTCTATCCTTCCAAAAAAAAATTAAAGACTATTTTAACATAAGGCTACTTTTTATATTAGATGAGTCATAAGTTATAACGATGATTAGCCAAACATCACCACATAAATAATAAGCATATATTCCATATAAACCATCCCCTTAATTATCCAATTAAATAAAGAGCTATCCAGCCGTCCCATTAAGCTAATTTTCATATGTTTGGTAACCTTGTTATATGGAAGAAACAGCAAGGTTAGTTCCCACAATAAAGTGAAAGTATATGGATTATTTTGTTTATACTTGAATAAGGGCATAATTATTCAATATTATAAAGATTAAAGGTAACGAAAATTATAGTAATAGAAAGTACTTATATACCAAGAATAATTAATGTTAATTAAGTATTGTGACTTGGGTTATCTTCTGCATAGAGTGCACACAAGTTGTCACCCACACGTGCAGCTCTGGCTTGATCTCGTGCCATGCTTTAGATTTGAGGAACAAGAAAATCAGACAAACAGAAGAAAAGGAATAAGAAACCACAAATAACTAGGAGGAGCTAGACTGGGCATTTTATTACTCGTAATATAAATCAAGTTCCGTCAAAGTTAACACGTTGGAGGTGATAGAGACATAAAGCATATAAATCGATTTTAAACTTCAACTATTAGCTTACGCTTTTAGTTAAATTAGTCCTCTATTATGGTATCAGGAGCTGAGCTAACATGACAAGAGGGTCACGAGTTTCAATCTTATATACCCCTTCCCATTAGTTAAAATTCTTTAAATTAGTTAAATTGGTCTTCTAACATTGGTCAATATATAGGTTATACAAACCATTTCTTCAACTTATTAGGGTATGTTCTCATTGACTGAATTCAGCTGAACTGAACTGAACTGAACTTATTAGAGTTAAACTGAAGTAAACTGAATATTTTATAAGAGAAGGAAATTAAGAGCTGAACTAAACTGAACTGAACAATTTAAATCTTCAAAATAGAAAAACATAAACTATGTCATGGAACCAAGAGATTAAACATTATATGAGCTACTATATTTCCCGCCCTCTTCAAATTTACTTGCGGGTGGAGAGGCAGACAATGCAACAAGATGCGAAGGAGTTGGTGCAACAATTATGCGGTAAATGCCAGAAATTTTGGCCCTGTCATCCACTAGCTTGTTAGAGATCTTCAGCCAATCCCAAACTAATAATGATTTTATAATTTAGCAATGTACGTACGTGATGAGAATATTTGGTTTGGCTTAATTATTAGATTAATTGTTTGGTATCAACTAACAATAATTATACTTTGGTTTTTTTTTTATTTTTATAACTTTGTCATTCTAAAATTAAACTATACATAGATTTGTGAATTAACATAGCAAGGATATCTTAAAATTATAAATTATGTCGGTTGTTATGATATAATATTGATCTTATCAAAGTTTGTATGTGTATGAATGTGACTATCTATGTGAAAATAAAAGGCATGATTAGCTTATACGAAGCATATTAGTTTGAAGTAGATATATGTCCATTTTTATTCCAAATAAATTGGTGTGCTACGATTGCGATATTTTAAATTAAATGAAAAAGAAATAATATGTGTCACCTATTATACATTGAGCTAAAATAACATAATAATCCTTATTTAGGTAAATATTTACATTTTTACTATGTCACAAGACATTGTAATTTCATTTAATTCAAAATCGGTTTGTATTATACTTCCTAAATTCCTTAAGATCGAATCTCCCCATTTGTACTTTAAGCAACATCATTAAATGACCTGGAAAGTTGTTTAGGAAACGGAGATTGATAAAGTATACAACATAATTTTTGGGCCTCAATCATCAGCTTAACCTTTTGATTGAGTTGGTTCTTTGAAATAGTATCAGAGCCAACATGACATAGAGGTCACAAGTTCAAATCTCATCCACCCCTCTTTCAAAGTGAAATTAAATCGCGCCAGGTATGAGTGGGCCTGTACCGCATCCACGTTTCAAGCCCAAAGGACCTTTCATGTGAGGGAGAGTATATCTACGTATGTAGGGTATGCAAAGAGCAAATTATTATTAGTTTTGAAAGTATTATACTATTATAGACACTATGGTTGAATAAAAAAGTTCATACAAATTTTATTTTATTTATATATTTTTGTAAGAAAATTATGTTATATTAGAATCGATCCAAATTATGTCATAGGAGGAGATAATACAGAGACATATCATACAATATTGGTCATAATATAATCTCTAAATTTATAGGAGATGGCGAAAGCTCCCAACTAATCATCTATGTCATTGGTATAGAGCATGCTATAATATGTTAGGTAAAACGCATACTTCAATTTTTATGACTTTTCATTAAGATTGATCGACCGACTGCAAATCTTGTAAATTAGTTCAAGCAATTTGGCAATATATATAAGTTATTTAAGGCATTAAGCTAACACATTGCAAATCTGTATTAGTACAAATTAATGTACGATTGTACTCCGTAGCATTCTACTTCATACGAAGTAGCTAGTATATTTTGTGTAGCAAGTTAAATGTCTAGGGTTGGAATAATTAAAAAAAAAAAAAAAAGTGAATATGCTCTTTAGCTAATCACATAACATTAATAATTTTGGGTAAAAATTGAAATAGAGAAGGTAAAATTTTGTTTAATTAAGTGTAATGTAAACAAGCCTTAAGTGAGGTAGGCTAGCTCATAGCAATATCATTGTGAGACATTGTTATGGAGTAGTATCCTTCAAAGATTAATTACCGTCGTCCATTAAATTTGAAATTTCAATTTAACTTCACTTTAAACCAATACAAGATTATATACTAAACAACATTTTTCATGTAAAGAATGTCTAAATCATTTGTTTCATACTCGTATATATAAATGAATGGGGATCCTCTATGCTGTAATAAATTTCCCTTTTTTTTTTAAAAAAAAAAAAAAAAATTATTCTATTGGCTCTAATCATATCGAGAATGAACATCTAAACAAACATATATAGGAATAACTAAAGGCAAAATTCTCATATTTATCCTCATCAATTCATCATACACACCGTAAACCTTATCCTTCTCGGTCCATCTAAGAGCTAGCTATTTGCTAGACGGATAAACTCGATTTATAAGCTATTTGCTAGAAGGATAAACTAGATTTAAATTATATAAAGTTAACCCCTTAAATCAGATACAAATCCCTATCATATGCAATAACAATTAGCATTCAAACCAATGAAGATTGGATCGATTTATGTATACAAATTACAAAGCAAACATTAGTGGGAAGGCAAATTAATTACATAGAAAAAGATTAAAAAGGACATCAATATAAGTCATAAGATAGAGATTAAGGGAGCTTAATGCTTGAAACCCTAAATTGAGCTGTCAATTTAGGATTTGTTCCCTCCACTTACTTTTACAACCTCAACCCATGTGCCTTGTCTCATCTTAGAACTTCCCCAATTACAAAGTTATCACTATAATTAATCAATTAATTAATTTTACTTTTTAATTAATTACTTTAAAGCACATCTGAAAAATTCTTTTTTCCAAGTATATTATGTCATTTTTTAATTACCACGGATGGAGAGTTTGTCACCACTTATCCTATCTAGTTAACTGCCAATAAAAAGTTGTATTTTCTTAATCTAATTTTGTGTACTTTTGACGAACAATGTTGGAGACAAGTCGAATTAATTATCAATTTTTATGTGGTTCGTTTGTAGAGGATTAATCATTAAATTATTATTGTAAGTAAGTTTTATTAGTTGCATAATTACAAGATTTACAACTATTATTTAAGGTCATAGATAGTGCCATTGGATGTTTATTGGTGGCACTAATTTTCTAAGAAGGCTCCCTTCCATTCAAGGGTAGCTCTCACTTATATATATACTTTAAATTAAATTAATATATTTTATCATATCGTTGAATTAAATTAATAGAATTTACGAGGTTTATTATTTTTGTTGGACGAGGACACAACATATACAGTAACAAGAAAAGTACTGAGTAGTAAACATAGTAATATATGTAATTGAGAATTTAGACGTAGTTCTAATCAAATAATCAACTATTTATGTAAAAAAAAAAAAAAAAATAATGTGTTGGTATGAATCTAAATTTTGGATATAGGATATCATACGTTCAAATAGTATAAATGATACACTTTTTAATTTAGTCATTCTTTGATAATATTCTCCCTATTAAAACTATAATTAGATCACAAAGTTCCTATTTAACAATAATGATTATTGACTTTTAGCAATTTTGATGTGAAGGAGCATCAATTTTAGTGGTGTAGGACCAAGGTAGTTGTATAAGATTTTTAACATCTTGTGTTTGTGATTATATTACTTAGGATTATGAAAGATGTGACGATTTTAAAGAAGATAAGTTTTTTTTCCTACGTGAAAAATAATAATGGAAGATGTTGATATGAAGTGTAACGGGCAATAACTTTGACAATGATTCAATAAAACAAAGAGTGTGACAACCCATTTTGTTTTTTAAAAAAAAGTGTGAACCACATACTAGGTTCAACTTCAAGTAATGAACTAAATAGTGAAGATATTTAGGATAAGAAAATAATCCAAGAGATTATTTGATAGTAATTAAAATCATTTTTACTAGAACATAAATATCGGCTTAATTTGATGGATGAAAGAGGGTTTAGTAGAAAGGATATTCCTATCTTTGAGATTAAATTCTATATTGTAACCATTATTCTAGACATGTCTTTTGAATAATATTTTTTTTTAAAATTATCTTTGAGATTAAATTCTATATTGTAACCATTATTCTAGACATGTCTTTTGAATAATACTTTTATAAAAAAAAAAAATTCCTAAAATGACACTGACTTAATACACTAATTGGGACTGAACTGAACTGAACAGAAATTAAGCTGAAAAGAACAGACCCTTAAGCACAACCTCCTACAAAAATACTACATACTTATGTTAATTTAGACAAATAGATTTCCTCCACACATTTTTAACATTGTGCAAAGGTTCTTAATGATTATTGCTCTTGAAGCCAAAAAGAAGTATACTTGTATAACATCCAAAAAGCACTAGGGCCAAGGGTATTTTTTACATTCTTCTAAACATATGCTTAATTGCTTATGCTTTAAATCTCAAATTTCAAGGGCCCTCTGATTATTTTTCAGTGAAGAAAAGGAGGCAAAAAAAAAAGGTCCAATATTTGTACTCTCATTGTCAATCAGAAAAATAATGCTCAATAATTTAATGTCGACCCCTCAAGTTCAAATTTTGTACCGAATATAGAGACAACTTTAATTTAGTAAAAACGATCCTTGTATATTATCATGTGATATGTTAAGAATTTTCTTCGTGAAAAGGTTAGAGCTTCCCAATAATCATACTTCAAAAAAATTACAAAGTAATGTAATTAGGAGCAAGTACTTTAGAAGTTTAAACTAAATAAGTATGCAAGAGCTCTTAATTAGTAGCTTATGATTGTAGCTAGCTTGTGTCAAACACTAGTACTTTTACTTAGTCAAGCTCAAACTTGTATTTGAAAAAAGTCAAGCAAAATCTTCAATTTGAACAGAGTCAAGGAAAATCTTCTGTTTGAACAAAGTCAAACGAGCGAAAACTTAAGGGATACTTAATTACTTATGCAATACTCGTATTATAATCTTAGAAACAATCATCGAGAAATACTAGTGCTATAAACTACATCCCTAAGGCCTATTAGTCCATAAAAAATTACCACTATCATCAATTAAGTAAACCGCTAATATTCACTACTTTGTCAAACACTATATAAAATGATACTCGTAAAGTTAACAGTTGATTCTCAAATAAAAATATAGGCTATTATGAAATTTCGTCCTAAGCAGTGTGAGAAGATTACTTTTTATTCCTCATTCATAACAAATAGTGTTAATCAATTAAATCATCTAAAATAATATGTCGATTAAAGTGTAACACTTTAAACAAAAACACAAAATGAGTAAATCAATTAAATTGTCTAAAATAATGTGTCGATCAAACTATAACACTTAGGAAAAAAAAAAAAAAAACACGAAGGGTAATAAATTTTTTTTGCATAATTGCTAATGTATTCAACAATAATAATAGTGTAAGTAATACATACTCTCTGAATATGGAATAATATTTACAAAAAAATTTAAAATTAGGATGAAGAATAAAAATCTTATCCAATAAACTATACTTCCCTGTTAAAAATTTCACTCATTCCTACTACACCTAGTAATAAAAACAGTTAAAAACATAACTTAAACCGTTAAAACAGTACTTTTCTTACTAAACAACCCACGCAAACTAAACATATTATTACCATTACCACCACCACCACTACCGCCACTTCTCATCCCTCCTCCGCCACCGTCACCACCACCGCCACTTTCTTCGCTTCGACAGCTCAAACTCTGTCGATACCCGATACACACCGGAACATTCAGCTTCAAAACCCGGCCTTTACCCGAACCACCACCGTTGGGTGTTCGGTTCATCAAAACGGGCTTCCTCACTTGCCATACCGGGCTGGTCCGGCCCAAATGAACCCCGGCCCGGCCCGGACTACTGGGCCAAGACTTTCTCGATGTTTTTGACTCGCCTGATGAATTGCTCCTTGAACAAGGCGCGCTGCTCACTTTCCGGTTTGATTGAACCGCCGATCTGGCCCGACCCGAATTATTTCCCGCGGATCGGCTTCGCGAAAACGGCCAAATATTTATATTCAGCTCGGCCGAACTATTATTATTACTATTACTATTATTACTATTGTTACGAGCGTTTTTCCGCTCTTTCTCTCTCCTCTTCTCGGATTTCTCCACCTTATTTTCGGGTTCATTCCCCGGTTTTTTCTCGGCCCGCTTGAAAATCTCCCTCCACCGCTTCGAAGCGGTTAAAATCTTGTTATTCGAAGTGATCAAAGCAGAGGGTTCGGGCTCAGGTTCAGAGTCCGGTTCGGAAGGAGACGGGTCCGGGTCGGTCGGCCCGGTATCCGGTTCAGGGACAACTGATTGGTGAGGATGAAGGCGGTGAAGAGGGAGTAGGAAACCATCGGAGAAAAGCTCATCAGCTGATAGAAGAGTAGCGCTTTGTGGGTCGCAACCCGTGTTCGAGAACTCGAATTCGGGGGAGTTAACTGAGTCGCTGCTGCTACGGCGGCGGCGGAGAGAATGATTGGGTTGAGAAAGTGTTAGAGTTCTTGAAGGCGATTCCATTTTGTGTTGTGTTTTAGAGAGAGAAAATGGGTGTGTGTTTTAGAGAGAGAAAGTGTGAGAATGTTGAAGATTTTGGTGGTTGGAATGTGATGAATTGATGGAAGGTGGGATGCAATAAAAGAGAGGAAAGAAGAGAAGAGAAGAGTTAAATGAATGGAGAGAAAGGTGGGAGTGAGTAAATGAGGTGGGTGTAAAGATCATCGATAAACAAACACATACTTCATATCCTCTACCTTTCTTTTTATATAAGCCGTGTACGGAGTATGTTCTGTACACGTATTTTATATTTTTCCTTACGTATAAATTAATAAATGGAGTTAATTGATATTGTGTGTGAAAGTCAATATGGTTTAAGGAAGAAAGAATTATAAGCTTAGCTTTATGATTGTATTATTAGCATTGAATTAGATAGATATTGAAATTATTTACTCGTATTTTAAACAGTTTTTTTAAGGTAAGATAAATTAAAGGATCCTACTGAATCACCACCTCTCACATGTTAAATCAACCTAGATTTATAGGTCAACGCTTGAGAGTAGAGAGAAGGTAAGGGCATTCATCTACCCCCAAAGAATTGTAGTTGGTGAGGCTCAAACTTGTAACCTTAAAATCACAAAGGTTATTTTTTTTTTTTTTGGGTAAGATAAAGAACCATACCCGAAGCAATTGTTCTTGATAAGGTTCAAACTTGTAAACTCAAAGTCACAAAGTAAGTTTCCCATCAACTCCACAAAGGTATTCAATTATGACACAATATGTATCTTAGCTTTTTTCGTTGTTATTTACTTGTAACGCACCATTTTGACGTACATTAGCTACCCAAATCTATTGCTAAATGGTTCACTTTAATGGAGGGCTAAATGCAATTTGAATTTATAACCTTCTTAACTTCTTATCATCGAAAAGCCTAATTAAGTAAAATTTGATCGCATGACATTCAATTCACAAGTCCGAAAAGCCTAATTAAGTAAAATTTGATCGCATGACATTCAATTCACAAGTCCAAACCCATTACACTAGACCAAATCTTGCTTAATTGATTTGTGCAATATAGTAATAGAAATCATAAATTTTACATACATGTGTATGTTTTTGTGTGTAAGTTTAAAACTTTATTGATTTTGAAAACTCAAAGTCTAAGGATGTCTCCCCACTACTTTTTTGGGCTTGTATTTCTTGCACTTTGAGAATGCAACAAGCATGGTACACCTGTATTTTTTTGGTTTCCATAATATATGGCCTTTTTATAAAACGAATAATATAGTGTCAATAGTGGTATCATTATTAGCCAATTATACGATCCTAAGTTACTACACAAACTTATTATATTTTGATTTTAATTTCTTATTTTTTATTATTATTATTATCGTATAATTATTTGGTATAAGTGTTGCTTGATAACAGCGCATCTCCTTTTGAATGGAGAGCTACATGTACTTGATTTATACTTTAAGAAATGATCTTATACGATCGACTAGCAAGTAATCTTGAGATATTGACTTTAGTTATTGTTGGTGTTGATTTATCTTACTCAAATACTCAATTGCCCCCTCTTTTTAGGGTAAAATGGAGGGAAATGCCAACAACTAACCACACTAATTTAACTTTAGGGAAACTAATCATAGACAATAATATACAATTAAAGAGATAGTAAAAGTAACTACGTTAGTAACTTAAATTAACTTCTTTGAATTGAATACTTTAATTTGAATGGTGTATTTGGATAATGTTATGTGGTCAAATTTAAGAATTAACATACTCCATACGTATGATATATGAAGACTATACATTAGTATGATATAATGAAAAAAATAAAATTAATTTGTATTATAAATGCACCTAATAATTCAAGATGACATTTAATTTTAGATGCATACTTTTCACCTTACAAAAATAAGTTACGAGTCCAATAGATGCGGATAAGTTCCAAACAGGTTCAATTAAGGAGTTTTTTTTTTTAAAAAAAAAAATGTATTCAAATAATCCCTCTATCAGTGTACTATTCATTGATGCATTCAAAAATTGCTACAAGACAAACGGGACACATAATACATACAAGTGATACAACTTTATTAAATTCACTAATTTATCAACTAGCATAAATTTTCAAGTCCTTCTAATCCTTACGATAGTTTTATCTTCATACTCATTACTTGTATAGTCAATCAATTAACAGTACAACGACCTAAGCTACTTTATAATTGCATACATCTAATGATAGGTATCAACCAAATATGAATAAACAATGTAGGATCACAAATTTTTTGTAATTACATTGTTGTGTACATTATTGGAATTCATGGAAGTGACTAGACCGTCTAGACTATCAACAATAATGCAATTGATAACCAGAATTTTCAAAAATGATGATCATAATAATCCAAGAAATTTTTAAAAAATTGGAAAAGAAATAAAAATAAATAAATAAATAAATATGAAACTCATCAGGTGATCAGATCTGTATTACAACTATGTATAAAGGTTCAAGTGATGTCATATCAAAACGGTACGTAACATAACATGTGAGGGTTCATGCATGGTGCTCACATTTTCATAAGATCATCAAACTGTTATTACTAGTATTTGACTTCTCTGATTTTTTTGTTATGGAATAACTAAGCGTTGACTTCCTCCATTTATCTCTTTTTCTAAGTTTTTTCCAAGAAGGCTATATAGGAGTAAATCAAAGGATAATGAATTGTATATTATTGTGAGTGTAACCTCTCAAACATAGTAAAATCGTAGGATATATAACCAGTGATATATTGTCTCCCAATCGATTAGAGGTTAGCGTGTATAATATTTGAATTCAATCAAAAAATATTCTCAATTGACTAAAGGTGGTTAGCGCTTATTATATTTAATTGTTATACTGTTCAATCAAAAAAATATTGTATGTATTCTTTAATAATAATAATAATAAAAAATTCAGTCTATATATATCAGAGGAAATGAGTAAGAATAAAAAAGTAAATTATCAAACCTAATTTTCAAGCACAAATTTTTATACATGGCTGGTCATACCGTGTGACTGAGATTATTCGAGTTATTTGGTCAAGAGTTCGATCAGGGTTATTCGATCAAGGGTTACTTGAGGGGTTACTCGGTCACGAGTAACTCGAGTAACCTATAATTGATTATCTCGAGTAACTCCAATCACACATTGTGGCCATTCACATAGAAATATCCTCCATTTTCAAGTAATATGAAACAATTCAACCACTCGTCTGATCTACTAACAATATAATAGTGTTTGCCAAAAAGAAAAGATCCTATCTAGTTAGGTTACCTTATTAATTACTAAGCTTAAATAGCTACGTATTCAATCACAAGAAGGGACGAAGAAGTGTTGTACAACTGTACAAGACTTACAAGTGTATGTGCAACAACTGAACAACATTATCTAAAATACCATATTTGAGACCCTAAGTTGCTTGTTTCATTGGCCTTTATTAATTCAAAACTTCATGAAGTTACTAATCTTTATATCTAATAAATTAAGATCATTATTGTTGGGAAAATTATTAATTGCATACATGCATATTATTGCTCAGTACAATCTAATATGATTTAAATTGAAATCATATTATTTTTTTCATAACTCCTATTATACAAATTTACATATAGCATAATTTAAATTAAATAATAATGTTGTGAGATGAATATTCATATACGTGCTATAAAACTTATAATCGTTATATATTGTATTTTGTATAGGGAAAACCTTGATCTATCACAAAGTGTAATAATCACACTATATTACACTACTAATAAATATCCATGATTGAATGCCAATAATCATAAAGACCAATTCAATAAAAGTGGAAAATATCACAAAAGGAGATTAATATATATACATTATACTAATACTTATCCTTGACAAAATATTGAATGGCAAATCATGGCTCACCTCAAAATTATTATAACCAACCAATCACATGTAGGAAGTTTCTTTTTAAGAGTTTAGCTAAAGATTAAAGTATGTGAAGCCAATTCTCATAAATAAAATCAGTAAAAACCAAACAATTCCATACAAAGTCATCACTATCGTTGTTGCACATGCATGCTTACAAAATCCCCTTTATTATTTATTTTTATTGACAGAAATTGCTAATTTAAAGGTCCAACCTTGGAAATTATATTTTAATCTATGGCAAGAATCTTAATAATTTAGTTGTTTGGTCTCAAATGATCAATCTTGTATAGTTTAAAAGCAAAATTTGCACGGTTGGATTCAACAAAATCAAATAATTTAATATATTCCCTTCGTTTCTTATAAATCGTCCTATATTCAAATCGCATTTTATTAATATTGAACAAAATTGTGTGAATAAGAAGAGGAAAAGAGAGAAATGAAGTGAAGAATACATATTAAAAGAGGTACTCCATATACGTAATAAACTTAATCCGTATGTGACTATGTAAAAAATTCTAAGAGATAGTTCAAAATAATATACTGGACAATCTTTAACAAGCAATTAATGAAAAAATTGTTGTACAAATACATGAAAAATATCAAAAATGACAGATTGAATTATATAAACTAAATTATCTAAGTATGGGTTAGAAGAAGATTGGAAAATTAAAAAAATAGAAGAAAAAACAAGGTTGGTATGTACTCGTGGGGACTAGGAAATAGGAGGTAATGAAGAAGAATTGATAATAAAAGGAGTGATTTTTGTCAATTAGGAATTTGTTTGGTGGCTAAATGATGAACCATGTGTTGGCTAAAACCAACATTTTTGCTTTTAGTGCATTGGGCCCCTTCCTCTAAACTATCCCTTTCTCTAAATATATTACTTGATTTTTAGAGGTTGACATTGGTTTATTACATTTATATTCACACAATTGTACCGGGTATATCAACTTTGGGGGGAAAAAACTAAAAAGTATATTTGGCATATTTTTGGCAGTTGTCATACAATTCAATTTCGGAATGCACTAGTAAAAAAAACAATATTAGCAACCGGCAAAAAGTGACTAGTGGTGTGAGGAAAAAAAAAATGGTGAATTTCTAGATTACTTGCGTAGAAGTATTTCATGTTTATAGTGAAAGTTTTAGATGATTGTAGAGGTATATTGTTACCAATTAAGTTTGGTAAAGTTAGTGTTTGGGAAACTCATTTTAATTTCAAGGTCATACGTTTGAGCTTCACCAACTACAAGCATTTGAGAGTAGAAG